ATAAAAAGGCATTTACACCAATAATTTTGTTATTTACGTATTTGGTTACATACATGGTTGAAGGACAAATTTGCCAAGCACAAGAATATACCTGTTTCTTTATCATTAAGGATTGTGTAGTATCATTTTTAGGTTTGCAACATAATCATCACTACCCTTTATTGTGTTCTTGTTACAGCCAGGCAGTTCACAAATATTTAATTGCAGAATTATAGTAGTATAGAGTGTACAAATATGGTCTTTGGGGTTAGATGTGAATTCAAATTCCAATACTGACATTTGTTACTTGTGTGGAAAGTTATTACATTTTGTGAGCATAGGTTTCCTTGTCTGTAAAAGGAAAATAGTGTCGTCTCTTAAAAATTAGTATGATGTTAATTAATATAATCTATGTAAAAACACATTTAAATGTATGTGTGTGTATATGTGTGTGTGTATATATAGATATATAAATACATATATAAATAGATGGGTAAATAGAGTTCATGGAGTCTTTCTGTCAGTCATTGCTTTATCTCTGCCAGCTGCCTGCCCTCTGAGGGTTTTGAAACTTGTGTAATGTCGCCAAGTTACTTGAATTCAAACCCAGTTCTTTCAGACTCAAAACTTCTCTACACCCCCGTTCTAACGCACCTTACTACTCAGTATATGCCAGTCGCTCTCTCCTAGCAGCGGAATGCTAAGCGTCCTGCTGATGGTGGCTGCTTCAGTTCCTCCAAGGGATTTATTATCTCAGACGGTTCTCCCAATGTCTCACTGTATTCTCTCTCTCAAGGTTTTTAATTCATTTTTGTTCATAATGGTTAGTGTTGTTTCGAATTAGCCTATATTCTTAGCCTATAAACCCAATTTCTATCCTGTGAAAAAAACTACCATATAACTATAAAGAGGGTCTGTATTCGTTTTGACTAAATGTAAAGCACAACAGGGTTTTCATTCCTTAGGGGAAAAAAATGGGGAGAATTTGTTTCAATACCTGAATAGTATTAGGGCTTTTCTGGATGCATTTTTAGAAGAGGAAAGAAATATCACTATACTTTATACTAAGAGGAGTACAAGGGACCCTACGCCGTATTACCCCCCATCAGCATCACCACCACTGCCACCTTGTAAACAGCAGTTCCAGACTTTGAAGGTTAAATCAGTTGCTGGGTGTCAGAAGTAATTTGTTACTAAAAATAATCTAAGCACTCATGTTTTCAAATGATTTACTCTTTTATTTAAAATTATTTTCCAAATTAAATATGATCATAGGCTATTCTAGCAATCATATCTTGTCACTTGTGTTTTTATGCCTTCTTTGGTGAGAAAGAGGTGGAATTATATACAGAAAGAGTCAGGGGTCTATCCAAAGAATGAATTTTCTATACAAGCTATCTCTTTGGTTTGTATAGAAAAGAAGAAAGGAAAAGTAAAAACTAACTAGTAAGATAATTTTGGGTAGCTACCATGTGCTGCAAATTTAAACTGTATATAACCAGTTGTATCTATATAAACATTTATCTGTCTCTCCAAATGGACACACATATACTCAGGAATGCTGTGATCACTGAGGGATGGATAGCTCAGTATCTGAAACACTTCACTTCGGAGGAAAGAAGAAAAAAAGAAATCCATATTTTCAGGATTGTTGGAAAGAATTAGTTTAAGGAATATTATTAAAGATACATGATTTTATCTATGCCATACTTTTGAGGGCATAATAATTTTACAATGATTATAAAATAGTTTTGAAAGCAAATTAGTAAGAAGTGCTACAGTCTAGCAAACAGTTTTTTGAAGTTTGACTTAATAGCGCCCTTAAAGGCACTATCTCTATTCCTGGCACTTTATTTTTATTTTACAGTTGTATGATTTTAAAGGTGTTCTGCCAACTTCTTACCTTGTAAAACTGTGTGATGCTATGCTGTGTGTAAGAAAACTGAGTGATGTTGAAAAACATAACACATATAGAAATCCAACTCTTTTCTACAAAGTTAATCATTAATGATCCTTATTTACTTTTATTCTAGAACGCAGATCAATTTCACAGTGGCTATTGATTTTACAGCATCAAATGGTGAGTATTATGACTATCCAATTGTTTAAACTATCAGCAATTCTGTGAAAAATATTTATTGTCATGAACTTAGATATATTATTCCTATACTTCTACACTTAAGAAGTGTTTTCCAAAAAGTTCAGTTAATTTTTCTTTCTTTTTATATTGGGAAATAATTCAGACATACAAAGGACTATAAGAAATATAACAAAATGCATAGTAGTTACATTTAAATTTGTTAAATATTGAAATATTATAATTTATTTCACATACTTTTGAAAAGACAATTAAGCATCTAGTTAGGCCCACTGTGTATCCCTGCCCCATTTCTTCTACCCTCTCTTCCTCTCCATACATAGCTATAATTCTGAGATGTGTCTAATTATAATCCCAATTTTATAGTATTTTTGTGTGTATTAATTTATAAAAATATAATGCAGGTGCATGTACCTTATGCAATTTGCTTCAATTTTACCTGATCATTTTTAAGAATTACTCTTGTTAACAATAAGTATAGTTCTTCAGTGCATAGTCATACCTTTTCTTTGTAGCTTGGCTAGGCACAGCTTTAGCTTTGAAAGGACCTTTGGATCTCAGATTAGGGCAGTTTTCTATCTGCTTTTAAGAAGTTGGTGTTTATGCTATATATCCTGGGCTACTGTGGAGAACATACTAGAAACAGTCATGAAAAGAATGCACTCATTCACCCAATAAATGCAGTGAGGTTTCAATATGTGGAAAGCATCATGCAGACAATGAGAGAGTTGAATAAGAGTGTCACAATAAGAGAAGTTGAATCAAGACAAGGTGTCCACACTCTACAACCTAAGGGACCTTGAACCAAGAGTCAACTCCTATATTAGCCCTAATGATGTGCTAAAAGAAATAACTGTTCTGAAAGCCCAGTGATGATTTTTCCTAAGGAGTTGTCATTTGAATAAAATAACATAAAAAGGCATTTACACCAATAATTTTGTTATTTACGTATTTGGTTACATACTTAGTTGAAGGACAAATTTGCCAAGCACAAGAATATACCTGTTTCTTTATCATTAAGGATTGTGTAGTATCATTTTTAGGTTTGCAACATAATCATCACTACCCTTTATTGTGTTCTTGTTACAGCCAGGCAGTTCACAAATATTTAATTGCAGAATTATAGTAGTATAGAGTGTACAAATATGGTCTTTGGGGTTAGATGTGAATTCAAATTCCAATACTGACATTTGTTACTTGTGTGGAAAGTTATTACATTTTGTGAGCATAGGTTTCCTTGTCTGTAAAAGGAAAATAGTGTCGTCTCTTAAAAATTAGTATGATGTTAATTAATATAATCTATGTAAAAACACATTTAAATGTATGTGTGTGTATATGTGTGTGTGTATATATAGATATATAAATACATATATAAATAGATGGGTAAATAGAGTTCATGGAGTCTTTCTGTCAGTCATTGCTTTATCTCTGCCAGCTGCCTGCCCTCTGAGGGTTTTGAAACTTGTGTAATGTCGCCAAGTTACTTGAATTCAAACCCAGTTCTTTCAGACTCAAAACTTCTCTACACCCCCGTTCTAACGCACCTTACTACTCAGTATATGCCAGTCGCTCTCTCCTAGCAGCGGAATGCTAAGCGTCCTGCTGATGGTGGCTGCTTCAGTTCCTCCAAGGGATTTATTATCTCAGACGGTTCTCCCAATGTCTCACTGTATTCTCTCTCTCAAGGTTTTTAATTCATTTTTGTTCATAATGGTTAGTGTTGTTTCGAATTAGCCTATATTCTTAGCCTATAAACCCAATTTCTATCCTGTGAAAAAAACTACCATATAACTATAAAGAGGGTCTGTATTCGTTTTGACTAAATGTAAAGCACAACAGGGTTTTCATTCCTTAGGGGAAAAAAATGGGGAGAATTTATTTCAATACCTGAATAGTATTAGGGCTTTTCTGGATGCATTTTTAGAAGAGGAAAGAAATATCACTATACTTTATACTAAGAGGAGTACAAGGGACCCTACGCCGTATTACCCCCCATCAGCATCACCACCACTGCCACCTTGTAAACAGCAGTTCCAGACTTTGAAGGTTAAATCAATTGCCGGGTGTCAGAAGTAATTTGTTACTAAAAATAATCTAAGCACTCATGCTTTCAAATGATTTACTCTTTTATTTAAAATTATTTTCCAAATTAAATATGATCATAGGCTATTCTAGCAATCATATCTTGTCACTTGTGTTTTTATGCCTTCTTTGGTGAGAAAGAGGTGGAATTATATACAGAAAGAGTCAGGGGTCTATCCAAAGAATGAATTTTCTATACAAGCTATCTCTTTGGTTTGTATAGAAAAGAAGAAAGGAAAAGTAAAAACTAACTAGTAAGATAATTTTGGGTAGCTACCATGTGCTGCAAATTTAAACTGTATATAACCAGTTGTATCTATATAAACATTTATCTGTCTCTCCAAATGGACACACATATACTCAGGAATGCTGTGATCACTGAGGGATGGATAGCTCAGTATCTGAAACACTTCACTTCGGAGGAAAGAAGAAAAAAAGAAATCCATATTTTCAGGATTGTTGGAAAGAATTAGTTTAAGGAATATTATTAAAGATACATGATTTTATCTATGCCATACTTTTGAGGGCATAATAATTTTACAATGATTATAAAATAGTTTTGAAAGCAAATTAGTAAGAAGTGCTACAGTCTAGCAAACAGTTTTTTGAAGTTTGACTTAATAGCGCCCTTAAAGGCACTATCTCTATTCCTGGCACTTTATTTTTATTTTACAGTTGTATGATTTTAAAGGTGTTCTGCCAACTTCTTACCTTGTAAAACTGTGTGATGCTATGCTGTGTGTAAGAAAACTGAGTGATGTTGAAAAACATAACACATATAGAAATCCAACTCTTTTCTACAAAGTTAATCATTAATGATTCTTATTTACTTTTATTCTAGAACGCAGATCAATTTCACAGTGGCTATTGATTTTACAGCATCAAATGGTGAGTATTATGACTATCCATTTGTTTAAACTATCAGCAATTCTGTGAAAAATATTTATTGTCATGAACTTAGATATATTATTCCTATACTTCTACACTTAAGAAGTGTTTTCCAAAAAGTTCAGTTAATTTTTCTTTCTTTTTATATTGGGAAATAATTCAGACATACAAAGGACTATAAGAAATATAACAAAATGCATAGTAGTTGCATTCAAATTTGTTAAATATTGGAATATTATAATTTGTTTCACATACTTTTGAAAAGACAATTAAGCATCTAGTTAGGCCCACTGTGTATCCCTGCCCCATTTCTTTTACCCTCTCTTCCTCTCCATACATAGCTATAATTCTGAGATGTGTCTAATTATAATCCCAATTTTATAGTATTTTTGTGTGTATTAATTTATAAAAATATAATGCAGGTGCATGTACCTTATGCAATTTGCTTCAATTTTACCTGATCATTTTTAAGAATTACTCTTGTTAACATATTTACATTTAATTAATTCATAGGGATTTTCATGTAACATCCCATGTGGGGTTATTCATCATTTATATATATTATATATATGAAAAAAACTGGTCTTTTATTTTATTTTGAAGTAATTTTGTTTCAAATGGAACAATCATTTGAATTGAGTTACTAGGAACATGAATCTCATTATTTAATTTTTACCAGAAGTTGCCATCAGTTTATATTTACCTAGAACTGTTTTTTTCCAAATTGCTTATTGTGTTTATGGCTCTCACATTATATTTCCTTTATCTCACATTTCTTTCACATCAACTATCCCCTAAAATTTCACAAAATAATAGACATAGGTAGCAAAGCATCTTAGAGATCTCTTACTCCAACCACCCTCTTAAATAAATAAGGAAATTTAGGTCCAGAAAATCTTTTTCTAATAAATGCATCTTGGCTTGTTAGTACTAAACCTAGGAGTCGGGATGAGCAGCCCAAACTCTATTTCAGCTCATCTTGGGCTACGTGTTTATACTCCACATTATTGCTTCAAGTTAATGACTTTTACTCACATGCTTTATTCAGTAAAATATGGAACATAAAAATAATACCTGAAATCCAAACAGTTTAAATATTATCTTTTGTTCACTGATGAGCATTAGCACAACAAGCTAAAGAGCAAGAATCTATTCAATAGAAAGACACAAACTACTAAAACTGACTTAAAAAGAAATAGGCAATCTGAACAGATCTATAATAAGAGATTGAATTAGATTTTTAAAAATCTACCCACAAAGTTTATTTGGGCAGCAGCTTTACTAGTGAATTCTACCAAATATTTAAAAAAGAATTAATACCAATTTTTCACAAACTCTTCCAAAAAATAGAAAAGGTAAGAAATGTTCCCTTATCATTCTATGAGGTCAGTAGTACCTTGATAACAAAACCAGATAAAGATATCCATAAATAAGAGAAACTGAAGATCAATCTCTTTTATGGATGTGGATATAAAAATCTTCAACAAAATACTAGCAAACTGAATCCAGCAACATAAAGAGAATTATTTACCAAGTAAAATTGATCCCAGGAATGCAAAGTTGGTTTAATAGTTAAAAAGCAAATAACATAATATACCAAGTCAGTAGGAGAAAATGTAAAAACCACATGGTCATCACTTGATGCATGAAAAACATTTGACTAAATCCAACACACTTACAAAATAAAAGCACTTAAACTAAGACTAGAAATTGGCTTACTAACTTTAGGAAGGGAAAGCATGAAAAACCCATAGCTAACATCATACATAATGGTGAAAAGCTAGAGGCTTTCCACCTCAACAGGAAGAACAGATCAAGGATGTCTGCTCTGCCACTTCTATTTAACATTGTACTAGAGGTCATGGCCACAGCAGTTAGGCAGGAAAAAGAAATAAAATATATCCATATTGGAAAAAAATGTATAAAACTATGTGCAGATGGCATAATCTTATGTATAGAAGATCCTAAGGATTCACCTAAAATTTCTTAGAACTTAAAAATGAATTCACCAAGATTGAAGGATAGATCAATATATAATCATCAGTTCTTTTTCTATATACTTTCAGTGAACAATCTGAGAATGAAATTAAGAAAATAATTCCATTTATAATATTATCAAAAGGAATACAGTACGTAGGAATAAATTTAACCAACGTAAGTGCAAAACTTAGATTTTAAGACTGTATTCAGAAAAAATTGTTGAAAGAAATTCGAGTTCTAAGTAAGTGGGAAAGTATGCCATTTTCATAGATTAGAAAATTCAAGACTGTTAAGATGTCATTGTTTCCCAGAGTGATTGGCAGATTCAGTGGAGTCTTAGTCAAAACATTGAAAGGCTTTTTGTAGAAATGGATAACTGACCCAAAAATTCATGCAGAATTTCAAGGAATCCAGAAGAGTTAAAGGAGACTTGGAAAAAAAAGAGCAAAGATTCACACTTCCATTTTTTAAACTTACTATAAAGCAACAGTAATCAAGACATTGTGATGCTGGCATAAAGATAAATATGTAGTTTAACAAAATACAGTTGAGATTCTAGAACCATGTGTTTAAAGTTAACTGATTTCAAGGAGGATACCAAGACAATTCAATGGAGAAATAATTATCTTTTGAACAAATGGTACTGGGGCAACTTTACAGCCATATACAAAAGAATGAAGTTGGATCTTTACCTCATATCTATACAAAATTAACACAAAATAGATAAAAGTCTAAATGTAAGGGCTAAAATTACAAATTATAAAACTATTAGAAGAAAACATAGGGACACATATTCATGACCTCGGATTTGGCAATAGATTCTTAGATATGACACCAAAAACATAAGGAAAAAAAGAAAAATAAATTGAGATTCATAAAATTAAAACCTTTTATGCTTCACAGAACACTATGAACAAGGTAAAAAGACAAACTCCAGAAGGGGAGAAAATATTAGCAAGTCATTTATCTCATTGGGGTCTTGTATCTAGAATGTGTAAAGAACTCATAACTTAATAAAAAGACAAACCAATTAAAAATGGGCAGAGGATCTGAATAGACATTTCTCCAAAGAATAGAGAAATGATCAATCAGCACATGAAAAGATCTTTGGCATACTTAGGCACCAGGAAGTACAAATCAAAATCATAATCAGATACTATTTCACACCCACTAGAATGGCTGTAACCCAAAAGTCAGAAAGCAGGTGTTGGTAAGGATGTAGAGAAATTGGAACCCTCAAAAACTGCAATTGAGAGTCTGAAATAGTGCAGTCACTTTGGAAAAACACTTCGGCAGTTTTTCACGTTGTTACACATAGGGTCACCATGTGACCTTGCAGTTCCATTCCTAAATACGTACACAAGAGAGATGAAAACATACATCCACACAAAAAGTTGTACACAAAAGTTTATAATAGCATAATGGGCAAAACATGTAAACAACCCTAATGTCCCAGCTGATAAGTGAATTAAAAAATGTGGTCTATTCACACAGTAGAATACTATGCAGCAATAAATAGGATTGAAATATGAAGTACTGATACATCGACAACATAGATGAACTTTGAAGTAATTATGCTAAGGGAAAGAAGTTAGTCACAAAAGATCACATACTATATGATTGTATTTATGTGAAGTGTTCAGAGTGGGCAAATTAATGAAGACAGAAATGTAGAGTACTTATTGTTTAGGGCTGGGCTGGATGGAGTGATAAGAGAGTGATAGTGAATAGGTACTAGGTTTCTTTTTAAGGTGATGAAAATGTTCTAAATTTAACCATAGTGATGGTTGCACATATCTGTGAATATTAAAAATCATTGAATTGTACATATTAAATGGGTGAATTATATCTCAATGAAGCTTTTTGAAAAAGAGGCTAGTCAAGTGTGATTTTTTTTTAATACAAGGCTAGTGTACCTTTCTAAATATCAGATACAACTTTGATAACATTCAGGGCTTAAAATATTAAAAAACTGAGAGTTATAGCTAAGAATAAGGGCTATGGAATATGACTGCCTATATTTATATTCTGGTTTTACCAATTATTATTGTGTGATTTGGGGCAAGTTATTTAATCTGAATAATAGGTATAGTAAAAGTATCCATGTCATAAGTTTGTTGAAAGGGATTAAGTGAGATGGGAAGTAAGGTGTTCAATACATGTTAGATTCCATGCCATTATAATTATTATTGTTATTAGTTGGGCCCCAGTGTCATCAAATTATTGCAAGTTCATTCTCCATATACATTGTTATCGATACAAACATGGTCCCAGATTTAAGGAGTTGACAGTCAGTGTGGCAATTTTTTAATTGTCAAATTTTGTGGTGCAGAGCACAAGAGCCGTAAAAGTAGGAGAGTAAAAGACAGTAAGGGCTGGTAAGGGCTGGTGTAGACGAGGAAGGTTGTCTGGTGCAAGTGAAATGTCCGCTGGAGAAGAAGAAAATGAATTTCAAGACAGGGTGGCAACCTGAGAGGTAGTGATAGGAAGCACGATGTCATTAGTGGTACAGTGAAGGGATTGGTCTGGCAGGTGATGCTGGAAAGAGACAGCATCTTAGAATCGGTCCTGCTGTGCGGATTGGCCAGGATGTTTAGACAGGTGGGGTGTTAACGATGTTTTCATTTTAAGTACGGTTTTCTTAGTGAAATAGAATTAGGTGCCAGATTGAAACCATTGGGTAACTACTCTTCTTGTATTTGAGAGTTGTGTTCAATAACCACTTAGCCAACTAAAGATACTGCTTATCTGTGGCTCCAATGGGCTTTTGACCAACTGGCAACATCCCAACTTGAAAGGACATGTCCAAGAAAAATCACAACAGACAAGTTCAACAGGCAAGGAAGGCTTCATTCAAGACTGTTACCGTAGAGGGCAAGGCTGTTGCGATATAGGAGAGAAACTGACCTGAATTCCTCCAAAACAGAAGGTGGGAGCTGTGCAGTGAACTAGACAAGAGTAGCGGGCATCAGAGAGGAGGTGGTCTGTGTGCTTCCGCCAGTTCTGTTTGCTAATTAGCACTTGCTGAAGTTAGCCGGCCACCTTCCCACAGAGACTAGCGGTAGGGGTGCTGTTTTTTCTTGTCGATTCCATTTCAATGGGATCCTCCCAGGTCCCTGAGGAAGAAAGACATTCCTGGGTTATATAGGATTTACATTTTAAAGGTTCAGAAAGTAAGAATTTACAGTGCCCTAAGGAGAGGGAGGTCAAGGGCCTATAGTCTTGGAGAAACCTTTTGTCAAGGTCAGTAAAGCTGAGGGGAACGTTTGGTCAGGAGACAACTTTTTAAAAAATTTTGTCATGTGGAACCAGCCCTTAAATGCGGGTAACCCTTTAGAAATATAAATGCATTTATGCAATGAATTATTTTTAGGCCAGAAATGTTCTGTGTATAATTATATGTATTATAAACCTAGGGGAGATCTCTGCTTTATGTCGTTTCTCTCTCTGCATCTCAAGTGCTTATTTATTTATTTTTTTCCTTATCAGAAAAGAACTATTCCCTGAGGCTCTCTTTCCTCAGGCCATGTTTTAATGTAGAATTGAGCTTTCTGTGCTGTTACAAGTCCCATTTAACTTTCCATTTCCACTTAAGAAACTAAATGGACTTTCAGGCAGCCTTTGTGCTAGTAATTAGGGCAACTCAATATGAATGTCAATGTGCTTGCGTGGTAGCACATATATTACTTTCTCTCTCAAATTCATCTCTATTCAAAGGCGACATCCTACATAGTGTAAGTATATTGAAAATTCAGAGCCATGTGGATAACCCAGGCAGTAATAACGGGAATAAGTTAAACCTTACATTTCTGTGGTGCTTAATTATTTTTAATCACTTCCTCCCATGATCTCATTTTGTTCCCCAGTAAACACTGTGGTAAGAGTTACTGCAGGCATTTTATAAATGTCCTGCCAATGGCAAGCCTTGATTTGGGGCCTTCCGGCTTCTGGCTTAATGTCTAATGAGAAACACGAATAATTTTTCAGACCTAGATGCTTAATTAGCTTGAATTTGAAAATCACTATGCTCTCCTCTTTTTAAGTGATTTCATTGGGATATTTCTCAAATACGGAATATATGTTCTGTGAAACTGCTTTAGGAAAACCTCACAGTTATGGAAGCCCATTAAGTCAGTTGTGTCCTCTGGTTACAAGCATAATGATTCAAGCTAAAGACACATGATTTTTTTTTAAACAAAACCACCCTAAAATAAGATTAACAAAAGTGCTTGTGTACTTCTGGAACTGAAATCCAAGAATAGCCTATATTAGGTATTAACCATGAGGAATAATTTCTGAAAAAATGTGCATAGGCTTTGGCACATTTTCTACATGCCTGTTAGAATGTAATAAATATTTCTACGCTAATTATCCATCCAAAAAAACCTATTTGACAGACTATGGGTATAGATAGAAACACATAATTCATTCTACAACAAATACCAAGAAAAGTGTTGTTCAAGAAAATCACGTTGTTAGCCTGATCACTCATGTTGACGTGTTTTTTCTGCCATCAGGCAACCCTGCGCAGCCCACTTCCCTGCACTACATGAACCCTTACCAGCTGAATGCCTACGGCATGGCTCTGAAAGCCGTTGGAGAAATCGTTCAGGACTATGACAGCGATAAGATGTTCCCGGCTCTAGGCTTTGGTGCAAAACTGCCTCCAGATGGAAGGATATCTCATGAGTTTGCTTTGGTAACAATGCATCATCACAAGGATTTCATGTTTTGAAAAAAAATACTGGGGTCCTTTAATATCAGTTTGCTGTGTATGCTTTGAGTCTATCACATAGTAGCTCTTGTGACTCTAGAACCTGCACAATTTCTAAAGCATCGATTGAGGAGTGTGATACTAATGGGGAAAAGACAGTCATAGATTAGCCATAAATCTACCTGACACACAGCTGACTTATAAATAGAGAGTCTGTCCTGGTTAATTATTGCCGCATAATAAACGTCCTTCGAAGTTAGAGGCATCTACCAATACAGTTCCATTATATCTATAACCTGTGGGTCAGGAATTTGAGTAGAATAAAATGGGGAATAATGCATTTCTTCAGGATGTCTGGGGCCTCTCCTGGGATGGCTTAGATGGCCAGAAATGGCTGGACTTTTTCAAATGGAGCCATATGTCTGGGCTTCATTCTGGCTATTGGCTGGATTCCCCAGTTCTTTTCTGTGTCATGTCTGGGGCTCTTTTGTCCCCTGTGAAGCTTCTTTGCTCATGTGTGATACCCACGCTAGGATGGCTGCACGCCTCCCCCTCCTTCTACATATAACCTGTCCAGGTGGTCACCGTGGGCTTCACCACAGTGCGGCGGTCCGACGGCAGTTGGGTTTTTTACACGGCCGCCAGCTTCCCCCAGCAAGCACTCTGCAAGGCTGGGACAGAACCTGCAGGCTCTGTACACCAGAGCCTTAGAAGTCCCGGAAAGTCTTTTTTGCTTCGCTTGGTCAAGCAAGTCCCTAAGGCCAGCGCAGTTTCACAGCAGGAAAAGGAACCTTCGCCTCTCAGTGGGAGGGATGCCAAAGAATGTCTGGCTGTCCTTCACCTGCCATCTTCTTAAATGCTATTTCTTTTCAAATTTAAAGGATGAGTTATGGCTAGAATTAATTTTTTTCAAATGTGAAGCAATGATTATGGTTGGAGTTAATTATGTTTTCAATATTACAGAATAGATATGACTAGAGTACATACTTCTCTAGTTAATATTTAATTTACATACATCAACTCTGTGTGGCTAGATCATATATAGGCAATGTATTCCACTCCACCTTCAACACCACGTCTGCACAGATAGGGCCTATAGGCCCAGCCAGCCTACTGTCACTTGCCCTTTCTGATGAAAAAATGGGAAAACCAATATAGAAATGGGTAGCTATCATTTTGGAAAAAAATTTAACTTTTCCTAATACACTTGCCTCCCTGCCCAACCCTAGATATGGCAGAAGTACACTCATCTGTCCCCAATATTTTTGTACATCTTCATTTGTTATTTTTATTCGTGTTACAAAAACAATTGATGCTCATTATAGGGATTTTTAGAAAACATTCTATAAGCAAAGAGTAAAAATAAACAATAATACTAAAAATAAAATAGTCTCCAAAATTGATGAAAAGAACAATGATCATTTATTGAATATATTACTAAGTATCAAGCCAAGTACTTTGCAATCATTTTCTAAGGTAAGCTTCATCTAATTTCCATGTGGCAGGTGTATTGTGTCTGTCTTCTTTCACCACTTTAGCAAATGTCACACTGACTGCAGTGAAATGAGTGTTTCATAACCTGCCCCCAGGTGTTACATAATTCAGCTCAGAGTCAGAAGTTAACCAGGGTTCCCGAGGACAGGATTTGAGACCAGACCAATTCCATTTTAGGATCCAGGCTCTTAACCACTACTAAACCACACTTTATAAAAACACCTGCAACCCTGCCTCTCAGATACAAGCTTTACTAACACCACAATGTATATGTGTATGTACCATGGTGTATATATAATATATGTATTATACATACTTCCAGAAGCTTTTATATAATTAATTTCATCTCCTTTAAAGATATTTTAAGATCAGTGTTTTTCCAGTTTTTTTTCTATACTTCCTCTCGATTTTCTATTCCATTGCCCACACAATTTCTGAAAGATTGCTGGAGGGTTTAATTCTTTCTTCCATGAAATAGCCCAAATGTCACACTTCCAGTGTCGTATAAAAATGAGTATCTGTTGGGATTTTGTTGTGTCTTAGAGAATTAAAATCTCCCAGAAACTTATTATAAGACGATGAACGTCGCTCATGTGATCCTAAGTCTTAAGTACCTCAGCAAAAAGGTCAGAAGCAATTTTAAAGCCTAAGAAAACTAAATGAGGTTTATTATTAATTTTCCTTCCATTGCATTTCTTGTCACCTTTGTGTATGATCTTTTCCCTTTATCCCTCAAATCCTCTCCTTTTTTGCTTTTTTTCTACCTCCTTGTAGCCAAACCTACACAAATATCTACTGCTAAGGAAGGATTTTTTTGTGTGTCTTAGCCAATTCTTTGAACACAGTCAAAATACTTAAAGTGCAGAGACCAATACCCATTTAAATATGTGAAAAATAGTTTCCCAGATTGATGATAAAAATAATAGTGATGATGTTGATGATAATGACTCAACTTTAACACTTCCTAATAATTCTATTACTTTAATTTTTTCAAAGCACTTTTGTTTCCTTATATACCTAAGACCAGAGTTAAATAGATCTTCAGTGAGATAGTATATGATTTGATTTCTGCTAAAGTATTCTGTGTTAATCTTACCCCAAATAACTGTTATATATACCATTTTTTAATGTGAAAATGGCAAATTCAGAAACTTAAGTCCCACGTCTATCTGGCAACTAATGTATCATCTGATGTTAGCAAACCCTCATATGTCATGGTAAGAATTTGTGGTATTATTCATAATCATTAATCTGTTCATCACACCAAGTTCAAATAATCAGATAGCAAAGGAAACCTTTTGAAAAATTAAGTAATTCCTAGTTAGTGAGTTTTGGGCTAGCACAAAATGTTGAAGTGGAGCTTTGCTTTTAGTCAAAAGGGTGTCAGGTACAGCCCAGCTATTCATATGAAATATGTATAAGAAAAGAAATCATGGGAAAAGAGACAGAATGGAAAAGAAAAGGAAAAATGTCCTATTACCACCCCCTGGGCACTTGCGTTGTGGGAAGAGTGAGTCCTGGCCCTCCTCCCGTTATGGTTCTTGCTGGTTCTCTATGTTATAACTGAAAATACAACAGAGTATAGATGTCTGTTTATTGGACAGAAGGATTCTCTCAGCTTTTCCCCACGGTAAGCAGCCTCTGCACAGCAGCAGATACATTGCAAAGGCTAAAGCTGTAACTCCTAAGAGCTTCTCTTCGGTGTTTTGTCAGCTTGTTAGCCTTGCGGAAAAGTGTTACAGGCTGTAGGCAGAGACAGGTACTGACAGACGCACATCTCTGCAGAATGAATCCCAGTCCCCAGCACAGTCCCTCAGGGAGCTGAGCCGAGGGAGAAGTGGGTGAGAGCCAGACACCCCGCACCACTTCAGGCTGCTGGGACTATTGCTCGTTTGAATTCTTTTCTTTATACTTTCTGTATGTTCTAGAAGTTAACGTTCATTACGTTGTAAATGGAAAGGTTGTAGATTACTGCAAATACAAAGTTGGGCACCTATTGCCCTCTGCATTTAATAAACAACAAAATTGAATGCACTTATTTTCAGAAATATCCCTGTGTTTTACTTTTGTGCTATCTCCACATATAAACTTATTTGAACTTGTTTTAACAAGCAAAAACTAATTCCCCTCATAGTAATTTTAAGGAATGAGATTTTAAACAGACCTAACAAATCTTTGTATAACTCATACAACTTTGTTATTAAGAGGCAAAGCTCACTTTAATAGCTATAACTTATTTTAAATAATCCTGATAAAACATGCATTGAAAACAATGTATAGTTTTATGTAATAAAGTATTATCATTCAGTGCATATGAGGAAATCTTTAAGCAATTTATTATAGAATTAGGATTAATGCAGAAATCAGTGCTTTAAATATTCCATAATGATGACTAGAACATCCAATGACTGTTTTTCTCCTAAGATAAATGAAATAGAAAAAATCATAACCTTATAATCTCAATTCCAGAAGGTAGAGAAAATATATAGTTTTATAGAAATATAAACCCCCAGTCAAAAATGTTGAAATAATGATCCAAAAGTAGCTCAGAACCGCCTTGGTTTGTAATTATTCCCTTAAGGCAGATATAAAATACATTTTTATATGCTCAAAATCAATAATGAATTTTAATTTTAATTAGCTTCATACCTTATCAAGGGAAAAGAACACTGTAAAATTTTATTTAAAGGAAGGTTAAATAGGTCATCTCAGGTTAACGTCAAAACCAACCATTAGTTGCTTTGTGCCAAATTTTAAACTTCTACATTTTAATTTCAGTCAATTAGTCAATTTAATAACATAAAGAGGTTTTTAAATTTTTAAAAAATTTACATGAGAGTAATTAATTAGAAGTTTGATGAAAAGACACAATTAAAAGCAAAAAAATGGGTATAAATCCCTCTCCCACAAATGGCAAGATCGTAGTGGTTGGTAACATCTAGGTTATTTCCTAAAACCTTCAGTCTTTCAAAATGCTCAGGATTTCATAACATGGTGATACAGAGGCGGTGAAGCGATTGGGCTCTGAGGTCAGACCGCATGAGTTCAAATATTAGCTTTCTTACTCTCGTTGTGTGACTTTGGGGCTCAAGTAAATGAACAGCCTTTCCCATTTTAAAATTTGAAAGATTTACCTCCGACAGAGAGCCAGTATTGGCTAATTCACCTCTAAGTTCTCAGTGCCTTTGTTTTGTCATCTGTAAAGTAGGTGTAATGATAGTATTTTATCTACTTTTTTAGGGTTGCTATGAAAAACTAATGTATGTAAATATTTTACTATAAAGCTTGGGATATAGAATTCAATGAATTTTAGTTATAAATTACTGGTCTCTTGTGGCTCAGACAAAAACAGAACATGCTAAAATTACTGCTAACTCTATTTGAATATTGTTACTGTCCCCAGTGTTTTAAAATATATTTACACATATTTTTATATTCTCCCTCCCAGAGGTGGAGGCTCATTCCCCTTCCCTTGAGACTATACCTAGTAGCTCATTTCTAGCAAACTGACTGAAGTAGAAGGAAGGCACTGAGGCCTCCTCCGGGCTGTCACTCCTGCGTTGCTCGTTTTGGGGGAGTTAGCTGCCATATTGTTTTGAGAACTCTGAAGCAGCCCTATGGCGCATCCGCGCTGGCTTCCTGCCCACAGCCACGTAAGTGAGCCTTCTTGGGAACTGACCTGGCTCTTGTCAAGGTTTCGAAGGCCCAGGTGGGTGTCCTGACTGCAAACGCAGGGAAGGTTCTGAGGAAGAATGCCCTGAATTCCTAGCTAAGCTACTCCTGGATTCCTAGCACCCCAAACAATGTGTGAGATAATAAATGCTTGTTGTTTTAAGCCAAATTCTGGGGTAATTTGCTACATAGCAGTAGGTCACTAATGCGCAGCCTTATTTGTGTTATTTGTGGAATCTGGAGTAGGAGGATTAAATGTAACATTTAATAACAGAGCATTCAAGGTATGAAAAAGATAGACTGCGTCTCCGGGAACCCGTTGCCCTTCTGGGCGCTGCCTCCAGAATAACTGGCTGCTGGCAAGCTCCATTTCCCTTGAACAACATGAATATATTTCTTTGATTCTTTTCCTTTTCCTGTGTCTTGATATTTCTTGCACCAAATTACATTCTCTCTGACCCTTCTCCAGTAGAGATTATCAATTATGGGATTATGAATTTTACATTTTTCCTTCTATAAGGTAAAACTGAATAGATAGCATTTTTTCTGATTTCAATACATTTTAATCCAGAAAAATTAGAAAAAATTGAATAGTTTAAAGAATGAAATCCGCCACTAATTATGTGACTATTTAGAGTTAACTACTATTAATATTTCATTTACTTTTTTTCAGGATTTTTATATATTTGTCTCTACATTACACAGACCTGTGTGAAATTAAGACACTATTAATTATAGAATGTTGTGATATTCAGTTTCTCAAGATTATTTAGTTTCCTCTTGAAATTTTTTGAAGTGACCCTTTTAATGATGGCACATCGTACCGTCATATTACAATATAATGTAATGTTCTAATCTGTTCTTGACTGCTTAACTTACTAGTTTTTGCTATTATAAATATACAAATGAGTTTTCTTCAAAGAAACCTTCATAAGTGTCAACATGTATTATTCTCTTTTTCAGTTGACCTTCACAGACATTCATTTTTACTGTTTTCTGCCTGTAATTTCTACAGAATGGGAATCCTCAGAACCCCTACTGTGATGGCATTGAGGGTGTCATGGAGGCTTATTACAGGAGTCTGAGAGCTGTGCAGCTGTATGGACCCACCAACTTTGCCCCTGTGATCAATCACGTAGCAAGGTAAGTGGAAGCAGACAATGTACTTATTCTAGTGTGCAACACAGCGAAATCATAACATGACTATTAGCATGACTCCACAGATGGAAGTTGTTTTCTTCTAATTTATATCCAAGAAAATAAGGAAAAAGATCTAGAGTAGAAAGAGTCTTCCTGGAGCTTGTGCGATACTTTGTTAAGAGTATCAAAATCTCAAGTGAACAAACACTCCGGATTCTGTTAGAACCTGTATTTGTCCAACCAGGGAAATTTTTTTGTCTTTGAAAAGACATCCATGAGAGCAATAACAAGATCTATCATGCTCTCAACAGTGGAAATCATTCAAATCTAATATCACATTCCATAGTAGCAGAGAAGTAATAAAAGACTGAATTCCGTGAAGATGGCTGAAGGCTTTCAGTGATATATAGGGCACATTATTTTAACCTGTCTGAAATTAATATAACAGCTAATTTTATAAATTCCCAGAGCTCTGCCTGTATATAGTACACAGTATTGAGATGGAAATATAATTGCTTAGGATTTCAAGTTCTGGTTCTAGAAAAAAAATTTTAATGCAAAAATCTATGTATACTTGCCTATCATTTTTTTCATTAGTGCCTAAATAAATTAGACACCACTTTAAAAATTCTTAAAATGTTTGACCCAGTCACGAATCCTATTATGAGACCCTGCCTTATTATTTGATTATTAAAAAAGCATAACTCTCATATCCTTCTGAATATGTAACCAGATGAAAGTTGTTTTCTAATTTACCTTGAAGAAAGTGAACAAAGGGATATACAGTAGAGTTGTCTTTGAGCTGTTGTGATACTTTGTTAAGAGCTTTCCATCAAAACCTCAAGTGAAGAAACATGCACTGGGTTTTGTTAGGACCTCTGTTTGTCCTTTATTATCTTGAGACAAATTAAAATGAAAACACAACCTGCCAAAACTTAGGGAATACAGCAAAAGCAAGTACTAAGGGGCAAGAGCAGAGTGATAAAAACACACATTTTAAAAAAGAAAAACATCCCCAGTGACTACACCTCAAGGAACTGGAGAAAGAATAAACTTTAATAAGCATAAGTTAACAGAAAGAAGGAAATAATCATGATTAGAGCAGAGGTAAGTGAAATAGGAAGTATTGACAAAACTGAGTTGTTTTCTTAAGATAAAGAAAACCAGCAAATCCTTAGCTAGACTAGTGGGGGAAAAAGATTCAAAATCAGAAATGAAAATGAAGACTTTACAACTGATGTCATAGAAACATCATAAGGGACTATTATAAACAATTATACTCAATTTGGTCAATTTATAAGAAATGGATGAATTCCTAGAAGCATACAACCTACCAAGAATGAATCAAGAAAAAAATAGAAAGCCTACACAGACCAATAATAATAAAAAGATTGAATCAGTCACCAAAAACCTCCCACAACAAAGAAAATTCCAGGACCAGATGGCTACATAGGTTAATTTTAGCAATCATTTAAAGCAGAATTAACACCAGTCCTTCTTAAACTCATCTAAAAAAATAGAGGAGAGAGGACTTCCACATTCATTTTTTTAGGCCAGCATTACCCTGATGCCAAAGCCATCAAAGATACCATAAGAAGAGAAAACAACAGACCAATATCCCTGATGAACATGGATGCGAATCTCATCAACAAAAGTAAACTGAATACAATAGCATATTAAAAGAATCATACACCACTTACCAAGTAGGATTTATCCCTAGCAAGGAGGGTTCAACATACAGAAATCAATAAATACAATACACCACAATAACAGAATGGAGAACAAAAATCACATGGTTCATCTTGAGATAGAGGAAAAGCATTTGACAAAATTCATCACCCTTTCCTAGTAAAAACTATCAACAAATTAGATACAGAGGAACTTAACACAGTAAAGGTCATCTGTGAAAGGTACACAGCTAACATCATAGTCAATGATTAAAAAAAAATACAACAAAAAAGTTTTCTTCTAAGAATTAGGACAAGGCAAGGATGCCCACTCTCTTAAGCAAAAATGGACACATGGGACCACATCAAACTAAAAGGCTTCTGCATAACAAAAGTAACCACTGACAACAAAAAAGGCAGCGTATGGAATGTGAGAAAATATCTGTAAACTATTTTTCTGATAAGGGATTAATTTCCAAAATACGTAAGAAACTCCTACAACTCAGTAGCACAGAAAATGCAAATAACCAGGTTTTTAAATCATGGGCAAAGGACTTACACAGACATTTCTTCAAATAAGACACCCAGACGGCCAACAGGTCTATGCAAAGATTCTGCACACCGCTGATCCTCAGGGGTGTCCAAATCAAAGCCACAATGAGCTATGACCTCATGCCTCTTAGGATGGTTATTACCGAGGTCAAAAAAACAACAAGAATATGGAGAAATTGGAACACTTTTACATGGTTGGTAGGAATGAAAATTGGTGCAGCCTTTATGTAAAACAGTAGAGAGGTTCCTCATAAAGTAAAACTAGAGCTGCCAGCAATCCCACTTCTGTTTATGTCTGAAAGAATTGAAATCACAATCTCGATGTACATTATTCATTATTCACAACAGCGAAGATAGGAAAACAACCCAAATATCCATCAACAAATGAATGTATAAATAAAATGTAGTATATATGTACAATGGGACGTTACTCAGCCTTAAAAAGAAAGAAGCCCCACCATTTGCTGTAACGTGAATGGAACTGTAAGACGTTACACCATGTGAAATAAGTCCCAGAAGGACAAATGCCGCACGACTCCTCTTAGGTGAGGCGTCCAAAATAAACGCACACAAGTAGAGAAGGGGCTGGTGCTCCCGGGCAGTGGGGAGGAAGGCTGTGTGGAGTAATGGCTCAGCGGGCATCCAGTGGCAGACACAGAACATGAGCGAGTCCTGGAGCTCTGCCGTACCACGTGGGTCCATAGTTAACAAGGTGTTGAGCACTTAAAAATGTATTGAGGGTGGATTTCATGTTAAATGTTCTTACCACACACACGCACACAAAGGGGCACAAGAAAAGTTTTGGAGGTGTTGGATGTGTTTATTACCTTGGTTGTTTTGATGGTGACATGGACGTGTGCATATGCTCATACTCAATCAAATTGTACACGTTAATTATGCGCAGCTTTTTGTATACCAATTATACATCAAGAAAGCTGGGGCTTGGGGGATGGGGAGCCATATGAACAACAACTGAGATTTTCTCCATAGGTTACCAGAAGCATTGAAAGAGAAATAAAAAGTAAATGCTAAGCGCACACACACACACACAGAACACCAGTTAGGCCACTTGAAATCGTATGTACATGATCACATAATACTGAACGTTCTGTATTGTTTCTAAGTCGGGTAGAAATTTGCCACTTTAAGAGCATCATTTGGTAAGAAAAGCATAAACACCATACTGTTGTACTCAGAGAAGCTTTTCTCACTGCTATTTATATCTTTCCATTAATCACATGAAATCTAAAACCCTATGTTTCTGAAGCAGTCAGTATCAAATGCTTTTACAAAATAATGGATATTTAAAAATTGAAAAATGAATTCCTGAAGGACATTATCTGGCTTCTTAAGAAAAGAGTTAAGCACAAAATGGGAGAATAGGACCCATAACTGCTTGGGATATTTTCTACTGATTGCGTTCCCATCAAATTAATACAGATTGCTAATGTCCAAGATCAGTTGTTCAGTACTGTGGGAGTATTTTTGACTATACATTGTGGAACCAGTTCAACACTGTCTTGACAGGGTGTGGACACACACTTACTGTATTATCTTCATTAGTCTATACAATTGCCAGTCATTTTATTAGCAGCATGAGCGATTTATAGTTACTCTAGTCTATGGCAAAATTGTAAATATTTTTCTTGTGCATGTGATCATTAATTCTACTCTCTAAGAAATAAGTTTTGCCAGGACATATGCTGTTGGTCTGTCCCTGACCTGTTCAAGTTTGATCCCTTGGGATCCTTCAGGTTGTGAAGGAATCTCATTAGTAATCAATGGAAGTGTTCTTGAACACAATGTTTCTATGATTTACTTGAGGATTTTCAGAAAAGTAGACCAAAAACTTCATGTTGGCTATATACATATGACCTGCATGCTAGATATGTACTAAAAACCATAAAAATTATCCTTGTTAAGATAGAATATAGATACCCAGAATATAGAACAGAATGGAAAAAAGATAATAAAATAGACCATGTTCCCTCTAAATTACTGAGTATTATTTGGTGAGAATTCTGATAAATTTCAAGTGCTAGAATATATTCTTATTATATGCTTACTTTGTCCTTGGTATAATTCTCCTGCCTATCTTTCATCCATTTAACATGTAGTAAGCACTTGAACTATTGATGTATCAAAAAGTTTCTCCTGGTGAAATTCACATGACATAAAAGTAACCAGTTTAAAGTGTACAGTTCAGTAACATTCCACACATTCACAGTATTGTCCAACCATCACCTCTGTCTAGTTCTAAAACAAACAGCATTTATAATTATTGCTACCACTCACAGAGCTGTATTATATATTGAGTACTGTCTATGCAGTTTCTTTATTAACAATGCGAAGGTGCGTTATCTTGACTTTAAAGATAAGAAAATCAAGCCCAACAGCTTAAATAATTTACTGACGACCATAGACATACTGTGTTTCTTAGCCAGCATGTCTGTTTCAAAAACTGTATACATTCCTCTGTGTTAAACGTACCTTCATCCACCTCACCTTTTATTCGTGAATGAATTTGTAAGGCATCCAGGCGTTTCCATGTGCTAGCATGCAGTAATGTTGCTCTTATGCTAGTGTGCTATTTCAGAACAACGTGTATTTGAGAGTTTGCATAATATAGGCTCCTAACACATGTTGAAATATTTTCTTGGGATTAAGGGTTGATTGGCTATTCCAAATGGTATTTAGCAACCACCACGTAGAAAGGAACCGTCCCGTATTCTGGGGTGTCCTTTACCTTTTCATTGCCTTTCAGATACGCTTCGTCCGTGAAGGACGGCTCCCAGTATTTTGTTCTCCTGATTGTGACAGATGGTGTGATCTCAGATATGGCTCAGACTAAGGAGTCCATAGTCAACGTGAGTAGGGCTTTTCAGTCTTGGGCTGGCGGAATGACAGCATGGTTGAGAACACTTAGGTTGACTCCAGAGTTGACTTAACGAAACAAAATGCCCATGTCTTTGGAGCCAATTGCTTTCTTAACCTTATTCAGACAACCCGCCCACATTTGTACCATTCATCCATAACCACTAAGCTAAGAGGTATGGATAACTGAGATGTAACAAAAGTATTTTCCGCCAAAATACATAAGATCAATATTTATATTTCAGTTATAGAAGAACTGCACTCATTCCTATTTCTGTAGTATTAGATAGGGACTGGACTTGATTCAAAAGTCATTCTTCTCATTATAATTCCTAATTATGTGTTTTTTGTGATTATTTAATTGGCTTTGTTTTTAGACTATAATCAATAAAATCTACACTTACTAGACTAGTCTATCAGATGATACCTGTTTTTACTCACCATTCTATATCCAGGCTGAGCAATGTTTGGCACAGAATGGGTTGCATGAGAGAATTGTTTATCATACCTCATGATTATTAACAGCATGAAGAAAATATTAGCTGTTCGGTGTGAGATAAAAATAGCTACAGGTGGGGTTAAGAATCAAGTGCTTTATAAACATATACTTAGAAAAAAAGTAAACAAAATTCAGAAATAAAGGGTTATACATTTATTTATGTTTAACTAGACAGTTGGGTTGAATTTATCTTGCTGTCCATTATGTTCTGGTCAATGGCATTAGTGTGCACTTTAAAATATGGACTTAATAGTTTAGGTTTAAACTAACCAGACATGGTGCCCTGAGGACTAATTATTACTAATTCAGTGACCTTCAAATCTGAAAATGTGGCTACTGTCCCTGTTGCTGGGTCCCACATTCTTACTGTTATGTTATTTAAAGTGATGGTTTCATTTAACTGATACAGATCATAGAAAAAATGCTACAACATCAAGTATTTCAGTATCTCTCCCAATCATGGATATTTAATACATAAATTAATCACACTAATAATAACTTTCTGTAATTACAGTTTCCATTCACTCATTTACTGTAAAAATTGCTTTTCCTAACCTTGGGCATAAAGAAGGTAGAGTAGGGCACTGATATTTCACAAATATGGCACATTTTTTTCCACTCGAGCAACTGGAAGATTTTTGAGAGGAGAGAGAACATGAATAAAGAAACCAAATTTACCCAAAGTCAGCTTAGGAAGATTTCAGCTGAGAATAGCAAATAAAGGCAGATGGTCAACACTTATATTACCCAAGGCTGGCCATTCCTGAAGACACTGCCACGGAATTAGTGTGTGTATGGAATTTGGGAAGGATAACAGTGGAATCAAGTATATTATTGTGTTAATTTTAAATAGTTCTATTTTAATGAACATAATCTGTGAAAAAAAGAACTTAATAAAATTCAGAATGTTATTTTCGTCTTAATTCTTAACTCTTTTCTTAAGAATTCCATTTCTTAATTGTGAACTAATTATGTATTCTTTTTGAAGGCCTCAAAGCTTCCAATGTCAATAATTATAGTAGGTGTTGGACCAGCAGAATTTGATGGTGAGTACTAAAATTTCAACAATATTCCTTGGGGATTTGTTTAATGTAACTCCTCAAGCTGTTAGGTTTCTAATCCCTTTTTGCTTATAACATGTGGGTATGAATGTGGATTTGTATATATTGTTCGTCTACGCAGAGACATAGCTGTCTCATGAAGACAAGGAGGGTGAGCAGATTAAAAGATTGGTGAGTGGGACATTATCTCTGCATTTTTCTGAAAAACATGTAGCTTTGCATTTCATTAGAGATGGTTTATACCTTGAAATAATATTTCTTAAGACTGGCAGAGTGATAAATTGACTTTTTATTCCCAAGGCAAAAGACACTGTGGGCTCACTAAAAACCTTGAAGGATGAACACTAAATCAATAAACCATTAGGTTACAGAGAGAAATGTTCACACTAGCACACTATACTGCTCTAACGGATTTTCGGACTGTGGCTAGTTGATAGGCATTGTAAATATATAAGTTCTGGCACATGAAGGAGTGAAGTAAAATCAAAGTGGAACTGACCATCTGAGATTTCATGAGACTTTATATCATTATTGACTTACTGGGTAGTTTTCTGTTTGGGCTCAGGCCTTGTTCAAAGGCCAGTTAAGTAACGGCTGTTGGGGTAAATAATGATCTGGGTAAACCTCTCTACGGATAGTCCATCCTGGTCATCTGGTGAACTCCTTTAAGAGACCTCTGTGCTGGACGGCAGCTGCGTGAGCTCAGAACGTTCATCTGGTTCAGGCGTTTCCATGAACAATACATTGATTTACTTGAGGCCTTGGAAATGAGAATAATTTTAGAGTATTTGGAACAACCTTTGGTAGAAATTAATTTAGGCGCATAGGTGGGTAACAGGTAATATGGCCATCGCAGGGGCGACTCTTGTTTAACTCTGTGTCCGTCTCAGGTGATGTGTCCGTCTCAGGTGATGCACCTCAGGCTTTGATCCCTGACCCTGGTCATTATCTCCCTCCACGCCCTGCTTGGCTGGTCATCCTCCATTGACATAATCTAGTTTTCTGAAGCAAAGGTCATTTAGCCCCGACAGCGGCCGCTCTCATTCTCTGTGTCTCAATATTCGCACCTGTTTGCACTGCACTTCGGGTATGAATTTGAAACGCATGTCTGGAGTCAGGAAAGCTAAGATACGTCCTTCTGGTTTATGCTTTGTGTTACTTGATCAGCCACACCGATCAGGATACAATGTAATTCACAAACATCACCACTTCCTGGGTTAAAAGAACTCACTCTTTCTTCTTCGGTTATGAATGTGAGAAAACAAAATTCAACCAAACAGATTTGAGGATCTAATTGGTTTTTCTAAGCGATGCATGAATTGGGCAGCATCCCCTCTGCGAGCAGAGAAATGCTCCGAGGAGGTGTACACAATGGAAGGTTTTTACAGACAGGAGGGCGGGGCAAAAGTTTATTGGCAAGAGAAGAGACTAGGGGTTGTTTAATGTAAGGTCACCCTCCCTCAGGAGTTGGGGGTCTTAGGCAGATGACCTCATGAGTAATCAGGAAATTCCAGAATGATTGGCTAAAAATTCCCCTCCTGGGGGAGGCTGACACTGCAGCAACGCTGGGCATTAAGTGACCTTGAAGAAGTGACCCCATGTTGGGCGTGTCTTTCTCTTTTTAATATTAATTTGCTTTTACGTCTCAAGGGTGCACCTGTCCTTGGAGGCATCCCAGGTCTCTCAGTCTCCTCTCTGGAAGTTCCCCAGTGCATGTGCCCATACAGGTGGTAAACCTCCGCCACTTGTCACTCAGGGACCCCCACACATAGTGTGTGAGTGCAGAGCCACTGCCCCTTCCTGTGTGTATTTCTGGTGATGTATTTCTATTCAGAATAGCAGGCACAGCTAATTGGGTACTGCCCTCATCCAACTGCCACAGCTGTTTATTTTCTTCATTTCTTTTATTCCCAGTGAATTATTTATTAGGGTTTTGAGGTATGATAATTCATCATTTCCCTCTATGACTTCTTGAACTAACTGAAAAGGAAAAATAAAGGCAGGAGCCACTCAGAGACTAGAATATGAGCTTTGTTGCTTACACTGCAGGATCGGAGAACTTGGGTTAACCTGTACACAGAATCAGACTTCCACCACATTTTCTCCCCAAGATTAAAGGACCTCCTACCTGTCTCTGGGCCTCCTCCATACAAGGGCAAGCCTGGCCTGCTAAATATGCCATAGGAGGAAATAATTACATGGCGCCTGAGGGTAGGCTGCTCCAAGAGAGAGACAGCGCCAGTTGCTTCTCCCAGTCTCAGTAATCTTACCACGAGAAAAGTGAGTGAAGATGGCAGACAAAGAGCAAAGTTGCCTCCCCAGTAGAATTCCCCCCTGGGAAGCCAAGTGCGACTTCCCTCCGGGGAGCATGTGGACGGGGAAGAAGGGTCTCACAGCACCTGCTTTCTGCTTTCGCCATGGTGGGAGTTATGACAGAACTGTTCCCCCAAGAGACAACAGATGCTTCTCTAAAGTATTTCTCTCTCTTTCTTCTCTCCATGGCTAAGAAGAAAAGGACAGAATATTCATGTTTAAGATAGAAAAAATCTCTTGACTTGCAGTCAAATTGCTGCTATCCTATCAGAAGAGCATTTCTCTCTGCACTTCCAAATCTACTAGAGTAAGTTTACACATCACATATAAACGGACGTAGGAAAAGAGTAAAATAAAACTTGTGAATTTTATCAGTCAACCCCCTCAATCCAACATCCACACATTTTTAACCAAAAAGACATTATTTGCAGGGGCAAGAAGAAAGGCAGTATTTTTCTATTCATTATTCAAAGGTAGAGGAAATAGGAATAAATGATTCAATTAATGAGAATTCAAATTTCTTACCTCTGAATTTTCATAAGAACAATTTAGAACTTTCTGTATAATTTTCCCCCAGTGCCTTTTCAATCCTCTATAAAGCACCTTCATTAAGAAGAAAGGCTTCTTAAGGCAGGATTTCTTTATTCTTAAAAGACCAAAAGTAAATTAAAGCAGCGTCTTGTTACCTGCTTTGATCACAGTTAGAAGGTGAGAATTAAAAGAGGTTCTCATGTCATTGTCTCTCCCAGGGCTCAAGAGAAGTGCAGGTCGGTCTCTCGTACACCTTGCTCCCCAGGGAAGGAAGTGGGGCTCACAGCCTCAGGGCCCATGTGCACACGGTGACCTGAAGACCCTGCAGAGTGAACATCCCCTGCCACCATGTCCATGCCATTTCCATGCCATTTCCTTCCTCTTTGCTCTCAGACATGGAGCCTCCAGTGCTTGTTGCCTGCAGCCTTTTAGCCCAAAGGACACTGAAAAGTGGGGGACATTTTATAGGATCACATTCTGATTCATTTCTGCCGGAATAACTGTCATTTTCTTTCATTGGAATGAAACAGTCACAAAGACCAATGGAGATTGTAGAGGATGGTGAAAGGTGAGAGCCAGATGATGGTCTAGTTCTCGTTTCCCATTATAGAGGGAGTGTAGGGTAATCGTTAGGACTTATTAGCATTCTGGAGTATAAGAGACAAGTTCCTGCAATCGCTGGCCCATCACCATCACTATACATTTATGTCTCGATGTATTTGAGCATAATTAATTCTCTTATTTACATCCCTAATAAGTAGAGGAGAAAGAGAAAAAAATCATTTAATTACCTTATTATTGGTATTGTACACATTTGCTTAAATTATGACATATATGGTGTATCTAAGCAAAATACTGAGTGGTGGCTCTCTATCAGTGATGTGGACTAGCAGGGTCTCAACCCAGGCATTGGCTTGTGAACATGTCTAGAAGTAAAACTTAAACCAATCACACTAAGCCAAATGCATTATCTAAGCAGTGCAAACAAGTGAGTGGGTGAGACTGAATTCTGGCTGAACAAAACTTTTTGGAGGGTGAAGAGCAAAGACTGTTAATTGTAAGCCATTCTGTGGAGTCTGGTGAATGTCACGTGTATACAAATTGAATTATCAGTAACAGGATTATACTTGGAGCACAAACTGACATTCCTCCTGTCACTAATGTTTTAAAGAATTCCCACTGAAAACTTAATAAACTCTGGAAAATGTTTTAATTGCAGAATAACATTACTGCATCACCAGCTGTCTGTCCCATTATATCACAGCATTTGCAAATACCAGCTGACCTACGTAACATGAAATTATTTCTTTTTTTTTTTAAAGCTACTGAAATTGAATTTTTTTAAAACTACTGGAATAAATGGTTGCTCAGACCTCTTCTAATTCTGGTTTTTTTTTATATCATTAATCTACAATTACATGAGCAACATTATGTTTACTAGACTCCCCCAGTCATCAAGTCCCCCCCACATACCCCATTACAGGCACTGTCCATGAGCATAGTAAGATGCTTAGCCAACTAAACAATTATACTTATGAAAAATCATAGTTTATCCAGTCAATATAAGGGAAGGGCAAATGCCTCTTTGTCTTTAAATGTATTTATGAAGTGGGAATTGGGCAATATGGACATACAGCTTTGTTGTAGTTTCAGTGGGAACAAAGTTCAGATTGTTATTGGAAATTTTGTGATGATTGGTGTCAAGTTTCTTAAGTTATACATTAAAAAAAAAAATGAATTAGCATCCCTTGCCAATCAATCAGTCAGGTAATCATACAACCCAGAATCGAGAACCCCAGGATGGGGCGATGCACACCGGGTTGGCTCCGCACTGCGTCGACTGTTCTCATCTCAAAGGGTGGCACGAGGTCTTGGCTTGCTTTCCTCATTTGTACTCCATACATCTTTATTTCCTTTTTGCCTACATTGTTTTAGTACATGGATAATGATCCTGGATATGCAGTGGACAATAATCCTATTTTATTTTCAAGCAATGGTTGAACTGGATGGAGATGATGTAAGAGTCTCTTCCAGAGGGAAATACGCTGAAAGGGACATTGTGCAGGTAAGAAATTGAATGAAAATTATTTATTTGGTTCATTGTGAAGGGCACGTGTTAGCTATGATCTGTAAGTGGACAAATCGAAGTCAGGAGTTTCAGGTTCTGTTTAGTTTCATCAGCTGATTCTCTAGGAGCTTCATTTTTTTTTTTGTAATAAGGTATCATTGATATACACGCTTATGAAGGTTTCACATGAAAAACATTGTGGTTACTACATTCACCCATATTATCAAGTCCCCCCGACACCCCATTGCAGTCACTGTTCTAGGAGCTGCATTTTAAGTAGAATCTAGAAAAAACGCCCAGTTACTCTCCCCTGTATCTCAGGTTCACCATATATGAAATAGAAATGTTGATAAGTGTCTTTTCCTACTTTAATATTATCGAGATCATTAATGAAATTACAAGCTAGAAACATAGTGATGTTTATTCTTAATGATGTTTGGTTCTTAATAATGTTTATTCATTGTTTAGTCCTTAAGAAAGACCAAATACTTTTAATACAACTGATTACCTATTTAGAGTAAGTAAACTTAGTAGAAATTAAAACTATGGATATTTTCATATTTCCCCCTATATGTGGTTAGAAAAGTAGATAAATAGTTCTTAAAATTACATATAGAACATTTAAATCATATATAAAAATATATATGTAAATGTATGTGTAAATGTATGTTATGACATATGATACAAAATAATATAACAATTATTATAACTATTAGTTATAAATAATTCTGTTAGAATCAAGAAAAATACTTAACCAAAGCCTCCTCATCCCAGAAGTGAAGAGAAAGAAAATAAAATCAGCAACCAATAAATATAGTTAAAATTTATCATTGAAAGCAAGGAGTTAATTCAACTTTATAGCTATGTATTTTAGAGTCGCCATATCTTTCAGGATGTCACAAGTGAAAAAAGGCTGTGAAACACACATTTTTAATAGGAAAGTAAAGAAGGTCTTAATACCATTTAAGCACATGATTTATTAAATTTTTGGAGGAGCACACAATGGACTTCAATAGTCTCCTAAATATTACCTATATATTCGCCCATAAAACAGTCATTAAGAGAATCTTATTTGAAATCCAACAAAATTTGGTTCAAATCCTGGATTTGATATCTTCAACAAGATTTGTATATTTCAGTGTTCTGGCATGTTGTAAAGATTAAATAAGAGAATGTATATAAAATATATTTCTGAAATAGGACTCAATAAAAAACAACAAAATCAGTTAAAATAATTTGAGAAAATAGTATAAAATAATATAATAACAATTATTAATATAAAGATAAATCAAAAAGCACTGTTCTTTATTAGGCAGCAAAATTAAGTTTTAAAATAGAAACATCTGTATAATGGTTTTTTAAAAAGATAATTAAATATGATTTAGACTTTTTAACCCAACAATCTTGGGAGTGTAAAAAGAGCACACACACAAATGATTAGGTTAAAAGCAGCTCAGAAAGGGGACATGGTGATGTGGTCATTTATTTAAGCATCCCATGGTGTTTTGTTTTCATAATTAAACACATGATTATTCATCTTAATCTTATTAGCATAATTATAGGCCTAAGTAATTACCCTTTAACTGAAAGCTCTTCATAATGTCTGGCTCACATTTTCCAAAAAAATCAAATTACTGAAGGGAAGTATAAATTCAAAGTCCTTTAGAATGTGTTTTGTTGCTGTTATAATGCATTTTTTTACAGTTAGCAGAGGCAGCCCCAAGGAAGTGCCTAAGGGAAACTTGATACTGTTTTCCCTTAAGTAGTTAACTTTGCACACATCACGAAGGTTTCCTTTAATAATCCTTTAATATAGCATATTAGAGCTAATAAACTAGTGACAAGCAACATTCATACCTATCACATTTATAAAATAAAAATGTCCTTGGTCATGAAAGTCTTTAGTCTCTCAATGGATATACTCCACTGAAAAGAATATTGAGATAACACCCAGATCTATGAAATTTTAAAGTTGTCACTCTGATCTTGAACAAATCGATAAACTTCTCTGAGCCTTTATTTCATTATTTCTGCTCATTAAATTCCTTCATCTCTGTACTTTCCATGACGTTCTGAGTCTTGGAAGAAGTAACTAATGAAAACACTTCGGTACTTATCAGTATAAGGTGTCTATTAGTATAGTTATATCTTTCCTTTCTTTGGTAGAGTCTTGAGAGCCGTCTATCACCATAAAGTGACACTGGGATCCCCAAAGATTTTGAAGTCTCCTGGGGATATAGCTCAGGGGTTTCTGGCACATAAAACTGAACTGAAAGAGCCATAGGATCTTTCTTACAGATGCTTATTTGAAGTTAATATGTCCCCACAGAATTAGTAACCTCCTGAATGACAGTGACATCTTGACTTACATGCCTACATTTAGTTTAAAAAGTTGATGCATCTCTTTCTAATTCATGGAGAAGTTCCTAAACGGTGATAGGTCTTTTAAAAATAGTAAGCAAGGTAATCCTTTATGTATCCCATTATGTGGAAGAACTAGCGTCATCTCTCACCTTGAATAAGGTTTTAAAAACATTTCCACTATCCCAGTTTTCCAGGTTCCACCATCTGCTGAGACGTTTTTAAAATGAGTTCTTTTCAAGAATAACTTTTCTGCATGGGCTTGTCAAGGATGATAATGACTGTCACTTTTCCCATTATCAGAAATTACCTAAGCCGTCATAATCAGTGCTGTAAACACTGCTGGCTAATATATTATCAGAGAATAGGGTCTGGTTAACTCTCTTCCCCTTTTGCTACTAGCAGTTTCTTACATGTTGAAGCTAATCGTGTTAATGTGCTGCAAATAAAACCCCACCCAGTTCCTTAAGTGGACAAACAAAAGCCTAAGGTAGCTGAATCTCAGCAGAAAATTGGGGGTAGTAGATGGGGTTTCATTATCACATCAAATTTTAAGTGGCTTCCAGGTTCTTCATATAATAATAATATTTAATAAGCCCTTGGTATGCTAGGCAGTTAAGAGCCATAGTATCAGTTCATTCAATCCTTAATGTTATGAAGCAAGAACTTATCAGATTTTACAAATGAAGCAATGAGGTTCAAGTCCACTTGTCTGTAGTCACATAGCTGGTACGAAGTAGAATCAGTATTTAATCTTAAAGTGCCTGGTTCTAAAAATTCTTAACAATATTCTGTATAACTTTGATTCTAAAACCTAAACATAGCATGACCTGACCCCACACAGATGCACACACACACACAC